TCTAGTTTATCAGCTGTCTCAGCGGATGTTGGAAGATAGCATTGAACCGATTCGACCATTTGCAAACCATACTGACTTATTTTGGAGTTCTCTCAGGGGCCTGCAGCTGTCCAGATTGCATCTTTTGCAGACAGCCTGCCACATATTTCTCCGTTACTCATCCGTGGTTCATTGGACGGTCTTCTAAGAAATTCTACCGGAAACCTGAACTGGCGTCCACCTGGTGTTGGAGGACGAAATTCCTCAAGCCCACTAATTCCCATGCCTCCTGAACTAGGCATTGTTCCAGGAAGTGCATGCAGGTCAGCTCAGCTCCTTCCAGGATTGGTAAACATGCCAGGGCCTTTAGGAGGGGTTCGGAATTCCAAAGGAAGTTTACGGAGCGGGCATGCTTCCAGGGACAGTGGACATTACCTAATCGACATTCCAAATTCCGTCGAAGAGATAATGCACACTGGGGTTGGTATGCTTGGTGTCAATGCTAAAGAACTCCAATCAGCTTTGCAAGGGAACCAGCAGCACTCAATGACTCGTGCAGATATAGCACTGATTCTGCTTGCAGAAATTGCATACGAGAACGATGAAGACTTTCGCGAGCACTAGCCTCTTCTGTTTCATGTCACATTTGTTTCAATGGATAGCTCTGAGTATATCGTATTGGAGCACTGCCGGCATTTGCTTGTTAACCTACTATACTTTCTTGCTGGTAGGAATTTGGAGATGTACGAGGTTCAAAACCACGATGGAGAGAACAGGCAACAGGTCGTTAATCTGATCAAGTACGTTCAGTCGAAGCGAAGGAGCATGATATGGGAGAATGAGGATTCTACGGTTACGAGGACCGTGCTTCCTAGTGCTTCACTTTTGTCTGCCCTTGTTGAGAGTATGGTTGATGCAATCTTCTTCCAAGGAGATCTTCACAAGACTTGGGGAGTTGAGGCGCTCAAATGGGATATGGAGTGCACTTCCAGACACCTTGCTTGTCGTTCTCACCAGATATCGTGCATTACGACCAAGTGTGACGAGTGATACGTGTGTGTTACTCCTTCATTGTCTACATAGATGCTTGGGAAATCCGGTACCTCATGTCCTCGGCTTCATTATGGAGATTTTACTGACACTGCAGGTAATGGTTGAGAAAACGGAGCCAGAAAAGGTGATACTCTACCCAGCAGGTTATTGGTTTACGTGCTTTGCTTACCATTGTGTTGTCACCTTCAAGCCAGTATGTTGGCTACTGGCTTGGAAATATTTAAAGCTAATTGATAAGTTTTACGCATAATTTACTAAATGGGTCATAGAAGGAGATGCAATCTCCATTGTGAAATGATTAACGAACCAACAAGATCACATTTTGATCGTTGGATTGCTGCTGGACGAGGCACGGACACTAATGCTTCAATCTCCACCCCTCAAGGTTCACTATATTAATCGAGAAGTGAACCAAGCAACTCACAATCTTATAAATTGAGCTTTGTCTAGGAATGGTCCTTTTTTATTTTATTTTGATGAACCGGAATGTATAAAAACAATATTATTCTTGATGCCATTGGCATTTGAATGAAACAGTTTTTAATTTCCAAAAAAATTAAGATCATTTTAACCTATATTCTATTTTTTGGGAGCAATTTTAGTTCTTAATATTTCGGTTTTTATTTAAAATGACTATTACTGAATAGGAATTGTTAGTTGATTAAATTGTTGATGTGTCCCACACTATGTCGCTTAAGGTGATGATGGCTACTCAAGATGATGATGTGATACATACTATGTCACCCAATATGATATGTGAAATATGTCATGTCACTCATGTCACTCAATGTAATGACATGATATATATTATGTCATCGGTGACAGATGCATATGCATTCGAGGGTGGACACGTGCCTGCATTAAAATCTATATTTTCTTTGGTTAGTTATCTATTTGATAATATTGTCTACTTTAAAATTTTATTTGTACATACTTCATTCAAAATTTTTATGATATTAACATATATATGTCAATCCTTAAAAATATTATAAATTCGTTACCACATGTCACTTTGGAGGACATGATTGATACCACATCATTCACATAAGTGATAACATGACATGTCATTATTTAAAATGATAATAATATAGTATGTGTCACATCATCTAAGTGAATGACCGATAAAGTTTGTTTACTAAATTTTATTATCTCTTATTTCATTCAATTTTTTACAATTTAAACAATAGAATTTATATATGAGTTTTTTTATCACTCCTCCATTAATTTATTAACAAACAACAAGTTTCGATATCTTTCCTTTATCTCATTTTTTAGGCTTTAAATGGAATATTACATGCCTGGTCCTTAATTTTTAATATTTTACAAACTAGATAACAAGTTTATGAGAGTTTCATTTCAGCCCACAAAATTACAAAAATTACAAATGAACCCCAAATTTGGGTAAAGTTAAATGTTCAATAAGGGCCTAATCGTTAGAGTTGCTGAAATAAGAGAATAACCTTTTAAGAAAGTCGAAGAAGGACCTTTTTTGTAACTGCTCCAATAAGGGCATAACCTTTCAAAATGATCAAATAAGAGCCTAACATTTTTTGAGTCTACTAAAATAAAGGCCTAACCTTTTGAGAATGTTTGCAAATTATGGCCTTCATTTGAACATATTAGAAAACATTAGGTCCTTATTTGACTTTTCAAAAGGTTAGACCTTTACTTGAATAAATTCAAAAACGTTAGACCTTTATTTGATCATTTTGAAAGAATAATATATTATTAAAAAAATGTTTTAGTACTTAAAAGTTTTTTCGCTAAAAATAGGTGTCTAACATTTTCAACGTTATACTTTTAGGTATTTGGACTGTAACAGTAGCAAATTGAATAATCGCATCATCAAGTGAACTTTGTTTGAGGCCGATGAGTTCTCATACATACTGGAGAGAGCCACCATAAGACCCGCCGCGGTCTTTTCCTTTGCTATGTTGAAAGCAACATTGCGGGATAACGTCAGTCGGATAACTCCGAGGGCTTGTTTGTCGAGAAGAGCTCAGTCTTCATTCTTCATGCCCTCTGGTTTCTTTCCTGGGAGAGGTTAATATAGATTTTTCTGGTACAAAAAATATTCAATCTGCATCTTCCAAAAGCCAAAGTCCGCACCATCGAACTTTTCAATTTTCACATTCCCTTCGTCTGCAGCCATCACTCCCACTCGAATCTAGCTTCGTTTGGATCGATGCTGACTATTCTTGCGAACCACCATGTATTAGAACACCTCTGTCGACAAATTCATATCGCCGACAATTTTTTTTACTATTCACGAAATTCACTATTCATGTGAATAGTAATAAATAGTAACCTCGCAAAAAAATTGACAAAATTCACAACCAAAGGCTCTGATTACCAGTTGTTGGGAAATAAACGAGTAATTTCCCTATAACCAGATTAGTGAGAATGCGAAATAAAAACGGAAAAATAATACCCGAAATTGATAACGGAGTTCAGCCAATTATGCCTACGTTTTCGGACTGCTGTAAATCTTTTACTAAGAGAGAAAATTTGTAGGTGTTTACAAAACATTCACTACTCACAAGAAAGCTCTCTAGTATTGGGAGAAATAAATGATTTGGGATGATTTTGAAGCTAAATGGGCTAAAGTATTTATAGTTGAAGCTTAAGGATTAATATTGTAAATACCCTAAAGTGTGCAGTGACTAAAATGTAATTAATCCATTTCCAAAAAAATAAAAAATTCGGTGCCCATTGTGTTAAAAATCATCCGCCTGTGCGTTATGCTCCCCCTTTTTCATTTTCGGTGGCCTCCCTTGGCCTACCCTTTTGACTTTACACATCAAAAGCTTTTGCTCAACATATATCACTTTGATCATTGTTTACATCATAGAAACATAGGGATAAGAAACTCTCACAGTGACCGTACCCGAGTTATGCAATTAGATTGTCTTTTTGAACCTAAATCTTTAAATCTCTAGTCAACAAGATAAGATTTTCCTTCACAAAACGCATTTAAATTTTGCAGGCTTTAGTCCTATTCCTTTATATGTTTTCTCAATTTGATATTGATTTAACCTTTTAGTTAGCAGATCCATAATATTATCATTTGATCTTAAAAAATCAATAAAGATAACTCAATTTGATATCAGTTATTTATGGTATTTTGTCGATGATACATTTATATCGACTACTATTATACTTGAAATTCAATGTTAGTCATAGTATATACATATTAGACACCTAAATATATAACGAAGAAAAAAATATTAAACACTAAAATTCAATTTAAACAATAATTTAAGAAGTTATAAGTGTATTAAGGGGGTATTTGTTTACTTCAGAATGATTAAGCGCTGAATGATTCAAATGTTGAATGATTCAGAGGCTTTGTATGAATTAGCTCTGAATGTGACATGTTGTTTGATAATGGCTCTGAATCATTCAGAATGTACTTCTGTGCTGAATCATTCAGTACTGTTTTGCTAAATCAGTCAGCACTGAATAATTCAGAGGTGCGAAACAAACGCAAAGAATGCTGAACAGTTCAACATTCAGCGCTGAATGCTTCCATTAAGAGGCAAACAAACAGCCCCTAAGCCTTGTTGTCGCGATATGCACGCGTCCAACTCAAGAACTACCATAATTATATATGGTAAATTATATAATGTAACTCAATTATTAGTAATATTATATATAGGTCATTATATTTTAATAAATTACAAACGGGTCATTTGATTAATCAATAAATTACACCGTCATCTCGGTTACCTCATCCTCTCATAATTTAGCCTTAATCGTTTAGTCCCTATTTATTTAACTCAATTTCTTTTGAACCCATAGCTTTTAAGAACACGTTTAGCATGTATGTAATTTGAAGTTCTGAACTACTACTTGATTGGCCGATTCATTGTCACATATGAAGAACAAAAGGAAGACATTATAATTTGATTTTATTGTTGCACATGTGATGGATAATACATTTGTATAATATCCCGTAAGTTCAGCAATCAGCACACATCACGATCAGGTCGGACTCTTTTGTTTAACCGCTTGTCCGTCTTTGAACAACCACCGCTTAGCGGCACCGTCGGGGTGGTCAAGTTCATCTCACCGGAAGCTTTCCAACAATACGGTGCATTATCGAGGGTCGGTTTCTTTCCCGTCGATGGATTTAGATCAATGGCATTTAAATTTACACCTGTACATGGAACACTGTCGCTGCAAGCTAAGTCCACCGGTTTTACCGTGTATGTTCCGTATATATTTCTGAAAGTGATTCCTGATACAGCGACAGAAGCTGTTTTGTTGGCGCATTTCTTTCGGTCCTTTACGTCGCAGTAGAATTGATTGATCACAATTGGACGTCCGACATGGGACACATTTATGTTCGAGAACTGGACATTGTGAACCGAGCCGGATCCACCCTGCAAATATAGTCTGAGATTATAGTATCCGAAGCCAGTTTTGGATTTAAAAGCAGGTTTAGCACATCTTACACATATATATTACCTGCCATGTCTTTATCCGGGCACCGTTCGTCGAGTTATGTATAGAGATATTGCGGACGATGATGTCCGAGACACACTCTCTGGTTTCCTTCTCTCCCAAGCTTCCAATGCTGATTCCATGCCCTGGTCCACATCGTACATTTTCGACGGTTACGTTTGAGCATCCTGCTATGATGGAAACACAATCATCCCCTGCACCAATTATTAGCTTAGTGTTCACTTCAGAGCTGAATAATTCTGTTCAAGAACTTACTTCCTGCCGAAGCAACGTGAGATTTACAAGGACGACGAATGCTGTATCGAAGCAATGTTATTTACTAGCAAGAATGGTCGGAATAATTACCGCAGGCAAGATTACTCGAAAAAATTCGCACATGCATGGAGTTTGACAGTAGGATTCCATCTGTGTTAGGACTGTCCGGAGGAGATGAGGCAGTCACATCTTTCACCTCGACTCCCCTACAATTTTCGAACTTCAGATGGCACCGAGGACTGTTTTGAATAGTTATGCCCTCGACTCTCACGTCGGAGCTCCCGTAAAACCTCAGTGCCTGTGCAACAGCAAGACAGAAATACATCATAGGAATCCAAGCAGCGTCATGGACTTAATTGGTTCTGTTTTGTAATTTTTCAACTTATCCTTACTGTTGGTCTGGTGCTTTTCCTATTCCACCATCCCAAGCCTCTTCCATCAATGATACCACGTCCCGTAACTGTGACACCTCGGTTAAGCTTTGCGAATACGATCCATTGTGAAGTACCATTATGCCAGGCTCGAGGGTCCGGAGCAATAATCGTACCTTCCAGCTGATCACAAAGGTGCAGGCAGCAGGCATATTCACATCAGATCATCAAGCTGCCATTATCATATACGTCACATGTGTTTTGTTACCTTAAATACAATGTTTGGTTGACAGTTAGAACCATCGAATGAAACCGGTCCCACAAGGAACGTGAATCTAGCCGGGACGAGAACCGCCGAGTTCACCACCTTACATGCATCCATCCATGCATCTCGGAATGCCTGCATTGCATTAGAGTACATTTGAAATGACATGGAAATTTTAAGCAAACATTTCAAAGCCTTCTAAGCAACACCATGACCTTGGTATCATCAGTTATGCCATCACCCTTGGCCCCATAACGCCGCACTTCGAATTCGTAAGGCGCCTGGCGGGGTTGCGGAGTAGGTTTACGAGGAGGCTTCGGCTTCGATCCTCCGCGTCGGTCATTGCCTCCTCTAGCAGTGCACGTTTCAAAACTTGAAGACCACACTGTAAAAGCAATCAAGAACATAAACGTGAGCCTTTTCAAGAGAATATAACTCATTTTTGCTTTAGCTTCTGTCTTTTAGCATTTGTGAATGTGAGAAACAAAGAGAATGTTTGGGGTTTAAATAGGGGAGAGGGTAAGCAATGAGGACGGTTGAGACAGGGATTCAAACCGCGGTCACGTTTTCGGTCATGTCGTGTTTACCGCAATTGCGGCCATAGCGGACACTATTGGGCGCTATTGCGGGTGTAGTGGGTATATCAGAAGACAGCGCTACCGCTATTTCGTGGGCGCTATCGCGGTCACGAACCATTATTTAAAACCTTGGTTGAGACATAAGCCTAACCAAATAAATATATGGTTTGAATTTACAGACGAGTTAAAATTTTACAAATGAATTATCCACATGCATTGTAAGAACTTTCAACTAGAATGAGAAATAATATTCTGTTACCTACAAATACAGCAGGTTACAATTTAATTATAAATCTTGGAGGAGGTCCTCAAACTATAACCTCTATTTCAAATTGGTCCTTAAACTTTAAAATATTTCATTCTAAATTGATCTTTAAATTTTAAAATATTTTATATCAATCCTCAAACTACCAATATCATTTCATTTTAATCCAAATATTAATAAAGATTATAGTTTTTGGATAATATTAGAGTTCTAGGGTTATAAAATCTAAATATTGATCCAAAAAATCACGAGGCTCAAATAATATTCAGCATAGTTGGCTAATAATGGAGGAGTAAGTCACCTAACGCATAGTTTCAAAACCCTAAAAAAACTAAATAATAATCAAACCTTTAGTTTTTAAAAGAATAAAAGTTTAAATTATTTTATTAAAATCCATCACTATCTCAATGGCAAAATGATTGAAATAATGTATGCGGGAGTTTTTAATTCCCAATATAATTCACCCCGGGTAGGAATGGCAAACGGGCGGGTCAGGTGTGGATACCCCCTCCCACATCCCCATACCTACCTAATATTTTTCAATCTACCACTCGCCCACCACCTATGATGGGTAAAAAATTTCAAATCCACACACGCCCACGTGGGTACATTCTTAAATCTATCCCCACACCCACTACCCAACTAGAGACGTACCCGACTAGACCCGTCTGACAGTTAGGGGTGTGCAAAAAAATCTGATCCAACCGATCCGATCCGTTGACTCGTTGATCCGATCCAAAAATTAGGATATCTGATCCGTTTTTCAATTTTCGGATAGTTCGGATTAGGTATCCGAAAATTATAAGTTATATCTTATAAAATATTGAGATTTATAAATTAGTCTATAAAATTATACATAAATTCATAATGATCCAAAATTTAATATATATTTAGTGGGCGGGAGGATGTGGGCGGGCGGATGCGGGGCGGGTAAAGTCTCAAACCCATCACCCGCCCACTACCCGCAACGGGTACCACTTTCTAAATCTACACCCGCCCACTACCCACTAAAGTTATACCCATCCCTACCCCAATTGGAGCGGTACGGTGCGAAATCCATGAAATTGTACCCGTTTGCCATTCCTAACCCTGAGGTTATTTCCCCATCTAGGGTGAATTGAACACTATCAACCTAAAGACACCAAGTGCTCCACACGTCTTCAAGCTAAATATGAAGACTTCACGACTGTATGACGTCTTCAGGCAAATTGAAAAGACCCCAAGAATGCACGGCGTCTTCAAACCAATAAGAAGTCATAGTTCAGGAAATAATACAGTGGATGTCTTATATGGGAAAATAATTTTTTCCACAACCCTATATGGGTGAAGAAGCCCTCGATGAAAAAAAGATTGAGATAATGTAAGTGATAGTTTTTAATTCCCAATAAAATCTGTCCCTATCTCGATGAATTTGCTTCATGCATTTATACTATTATACGTGAACTCCAAGCGTTGACTTTTTTTTTCCTTAGAAATTTAAATATTTAGTTAAGCAAATTCATTGAAAACAAAGAAAATACATATTGGAATTTTGATTTCAAAGTTTTCCTTAACTAATTTAGATTGATCTAGTATATTTGATTTTGATATATAAATATGTCATTAAGATTTTTTTTACATACATAAAGACTCGAAATACATCACGAATTTAATGGAATATATATTATATATAGTAAATAAATTTAATAGAGGAACATTTTGTGCTTTCAACTCATCCTGATTCATTACATAATACGGAACAACACACATGTACCCAACCTAATTTTCATAAAAGCAATCAACTGAATTTACCATCAATTAAAATCAATAAACGACGAACAAAATACATGCGGTTAACGCTTTATTATCAAACATTTTTGCAATCACCGTGTTACGATTAATAAATTAAATATAGATAATTAAAAAATATTAAACAATCATAATAATAGTAACTAATATACGGAGTTTAGCAAAACGTTAACCCTAAAATCAGTGGCGGAACTAAAGGTGGTTAGTGGGGCCATGGCCCCTAAAATTTTAAAAATATAATTTAGTCTTTTAATTTTTTCAAAAAAAATTAATTTAGTCCCATCAAAATTTCTAGAAATTTATATTAAACTTTAAAAATTTTGAATATTCTTAAATAAATCTCCTCCCATGAATTTTAAAAATTCTGGTTAAGCCTAAAAAATTTTAGTTAGACCTTACTTTTTTGGGAAAAAATTAGTTTAAACCGAAATTTAATTTAAACCTTTAATTTTTTTAAAAATTTTAAGTTGATCCCTCCAAACTCTGTGACCAAATTCTGCCATTGCCTAAAACCGAAGGATCCAATCAAAAAAAATCATTGAAAACAAGCATGCTATGCTTGTGGCTAAACCCTATAGGCATAAACGAAAATAAGACAAATCACATGTAAGCAACCTAATTTTCATAATCAATGAACTGAATTTGATAAACAAAAATTACCTAATTTTTGAAAAACCAACCAAAGCCTAACAGGTATAATTACTCGTGTAGTAATTTTTGGAAAATATTACAGCAATATATAACACTGTAAAATCAATCAAATATAGTAAAAAAAAACTGTAAGAAAAAAGCATAGGGGTAGACCCAAAAAGAAACTGTTATTCGTATGTTGTTTTAGATTGATCTAAAACTGCAATATCAATTAACTGCATTTTACATATCCTTGTTATATTGTATGAATCGATTCCAATGCATGTTATGCATATAACAATAATGAAATTCGCAATTTCCCAAAAAAAAATTCGACTCGTGACTCGAACCTCGCCGGGCCAATGCTGTTGTAGTTGACCTTTGTACAGTAATCATATGGCATCGGTATTGATATGCCTATAGGGAGCTTAGAGTTCAGTGTGAATAATACGATTTACGGTGGATTCGGCAAGCTCGGCATCGTCTTTCTGATTAGTGGAACTAGTGCCTTTGTCATGTGAACTGAGGCAGTCCGCTGAAGGATGCACGATCCCGTAGCCGAATCCTTGTGCGGAGTTGCAGTAGGCCTCGACTGTGCCATCCTTCCCCTCTAAGTTTACATTGCTCAGGACTATATTGTTACAGGGAACAGAATCGCTGCAGGCAAATTTGATTGCTTCCTTGCTCTTCGTCGTCCCAATAATGTTTCGGTACATAATCTGGCTTATATCCACTGCTGATGTCTAAGAAGAACAAAGAAATAATGTGATCAATGTTCTCATTAGATGAGAGAAACTCGCAAGAATCAGACCGACACGATTGTAATACATATATAGAGAAATTTGGAAGTGCCAGGAAATAACTAGGATGCTGCACCTGGTTTTTGCAGGCTTTTGGGGAATCACAGTAGAATTGGTCGATAATGATGGGGTTAGAAACATCTTCCATTATCACGTTTTCGAAACGCACGCCACGGACGTAGCCCGAACCACCCTTTATCGAAGAAACACAAAGAGGCAGATGTCATTCTCAAACCCGAAGTGCCTCTAAATGAAATATCTTGACATGTCATCAAAATAATACCTGCCAAGTTTTGATCCTGAGACCATTTGTGGTCTCCCTGAGGAATGCTGTATCCAAGACCACCTTTGTGACAATACCTGTTGAGTTACCCTCCCCAAGGCTTCCAATGCTAAGATGCCAAATTTTGCATAAAATAGAACCAAAAAAAGAGAAGTAAAACGTATATCAGTTTAGATTGTACGGAAAGGAACAGTAAGAAAAGCACTATGTTGAGGCGATCGGGAAACACTCCGTTAAATTAGTCGGTCGAATCTAACTGGAAGTTTGGAATACACCTGACTCCATGTCCTGGTCCACAATATATTCTCTTCATCTTGATAGTAGATGAACCATTGACAATCGATATGCAATCATCACCTGAATTTCATATGGACAGTCACCATGAATATTTAGGCAGTCGGTACGAATGCATGAAATAATTTCTATTATCATTTCTTGATGAAATCCTCTCAGGATTCATCTAGACTTTGTTCGGTTGGTGTTTTTGTTTTTCCCAATGGAAAGTGTAAAGAAAATCATTCAAAAGAACTAAGAACTAGAGAAAATGTTTAAGAACCTGTTCCTATTTTGCAGTCTTGAAGGACAACATTAGTCGATTTAGTGATGTGGATACCATCAGTGTTTGGACTGTCTCCCGGACATGAGACCTTAACGTCATATACTCGAACAGATTCGGACTTAGAAATGACGAAATTCATCTGTTGGCTGTTCTGAATAGTAAGGCCTTTCACATTAATAGATGAGCTCGAATCTATAGTCAGTGCCTGCAACAAACTCACAAGTTAAATCTAATTTAAGATGCATCAATAGTTCAAATGCACAGTTACCGCGTGCTACTTATTGGAAGCACGAGTTCTATAATCGTGGAGAAAGATCCTTACTGTCGGTGCCCCTCTGCAAGGCTGCCAAAGAAAAAAGCAAAAAAAGATGAAATATAAGTCACATTTTCATTTCTTTGAGTTGTAACTTGAGCATGAAGGAATCTATAAAGAGAAGCGTGAGGAATTACATTTGACTTGTTCTTTTTGCAAGAAGCTGCCCACCATTTGCTGCCTGATCCATCAATAACCCCATTTCCTTGGAATGACACTCCCTGCAGCTTGGAAAAATCAAGCCATAGTCTAGGAAGATCCGGGTCCCAATTCTTAGGTTCATCTGGGGCCACTATGGTTCCATCAATCTGTACAATAACAATAATGGTTCTAATATATTACCATTTAATCTATAACGTAGGTAAAGATAAGCGAGATGTTGTTTCCGCATGTGTTCAATTTAATGCACATTGATATTTACCTGAACAACCAACTTATCTGCACATGGCCCCTTAAACCTTGTAGCATTAACTAAATAACGGCGCCCAGGAGGAACCAACAGAACAGATTTTTCAGTAGAGCATGCTGTGTTCCATGCTTTTCTAAAAGCCTGTTGATGTAAACATTTCCAGTTCATCAAGTGAGAAATTAGCTTCCTTTTATGACAAAGAAAATACATATGGTCATACAGTAATATACAACAATCATGAATTTCCAGACAGATCAAATGCTTAATCTAGTAAAAAATAATCTTAACAGCATACACATACACACACAGATATATAATCCTTGAGAGATTTCTGTTGTCCTAAGAGAATCATGAAGGTAATTTGCAAGGGAGTAGAGGGAAAAAACATATACCTCGGTGTCATCGGAAACTCCATCTCCAACTGCATTAAAGCTATCCACATTCACAAGAACCTTACCACCATGTTGACTTGTCCAAGATGGGGACTCTAAAAAGTCTGTATCTTCTTCTTCCAAGTCCAAGTCTTCAAGCTCTTCGAGTATGTTAAAGTTGTCATATACCATGTTACCTGCAACCCCATACGCCGCTATCAGCAAACCAAGGAAGGAAACAAGGAACAATTTAGCCATGATTTGTGTTCTGTTCTTTTTCTATTAAAGATTGATTGAGTTGTATAAATTGTATAAATGCAATAAGATATTGGTTTAATTTATATATGCAGATTAGTTTTGGAAATGAATGGTTTTGTGGGCTATATGGCTTGGCTTAAAAGTAGATGAAGGTGATACATTTTCTATATGCCTACACTTTAAGTACAAGGGAAATTTTACTTTTATGTTCTTTGCTTTACTCTTCAACCAGTTGACACAATGAACCAGTCAAAATGTTCATGGATTCAGTAAATATCTCTGAACCATAGAAGTACATAAAATAATCAGCAAAGGAAATATATATATATATATAACTCAATTTTGTAAATCGAAAAATGAAACATCACCATGCATGCATCTTAGTACAAACGCCAAAGTTATCTTAGTACTCTCATATACTGACAGATAGACAACTTTCAACGTCACAACATTTTCCATACATAGGGGTGCAAATGAACAGAGCTTGAACAAACAAGGTTGAGTTCGTTTATTCACCAACATAATCGAATCGAACACACCTCTGTTCGTGTTCGTACGTTTTTTAAATGACATATAAAATTTGTTAATACTCATTTATTTAACTCAATAAACGAACACTACACGAACAGTTAATCAAACGTTGTGTTTATTTACATCCTACCCACACATATCATTAGAGCTGACTGAATCAGAACACTCCCTGAATCAAACCATGTTTTCAAAAAAAAAAAAGCTAATCCTCCTATATAATAGAAGGTCATTAGACAACAAATCATTCTCTACAAAAAAAAAAAAAGGAACAAAAATGATTGAATCCCTTGATATCAAATTCCAAACAGCTAAATGCCAATCAGCCATTTTATCAAACAACTTCAAAGCAACGCCATACAGTACCATACGCATATAAAGAGTCAAAACTGGCCATGGTACATTTTGACATACCATATAACTGTCGATTTGATTGAAATATTTTATTCATGAATTGATTTACACATGAAGATCAGGAATTGTCGTTATCAAGGTGGCACTAACCTTATCCATCGAACGAACCCACATTCTTGGATATCAAGTTCTTTCCTTTAGCTATTTTAGCTTATCGGACTTGAGAACAGGCTGAGAAATAAAGGTCGGCTCTCGATCTTTCCTTTCACTGCAATAAACGTGTAAAAACAAATTACATCAAAATGCCGACCAAATCCAAGAACAAGAGTCAAGATTCAATGAGAAATGTAAAGAGAAACTTGCCGATTATGCAAGTTTAATGCACCTACTTTTCCCATCTTAAAAGTACAATGCAACAATTTCGTTAGATTAAATTAAACCCACTTATCAAATGCGATTTCATTAAAGAAAACATAGGTAATGTGAATGGATGTCCTTTTTTCTATATGTATGGGGTAAGAGGAGGTAAGATAGTAGGTTGCTCCCAACATCAGGTTAAGAACAACTTTCGTAGAAGACTTTCGAATTATGAAATGTCAACTCGATCCTACGACCTCAAGATTAAGAACCTTGTGCTCGTAGGATCGAGTCTTACGAAGGGCATTTCATAATTCGGAGGTCTTCTACGGAAGTTACTCTTAACCTGGTGTTGGGAGCAACCTATTATCTTACCTCTCCTTTACCCCATTACATATGGTAATAAAGGACATCCATAGGTAATGTGAAGTAATGGCAAAGAAGGGCGAAATGGTTAGAAAACTTAAATGTATTGAAAAATAGGTAGAGAATTAAAATTTATGTTAAAATAAATTGAGTCGGAGTTAAATTTTTAAATCAAAATTAAAAAAAAATAAAGATATTATCGATCGAACTAAAATTAAATTTTGTTGTTATAGTACCGGTTCGGGTTCAGACAAACCAAACAAGTTACGTGAAATTAGTCCAATAGGCCATACAGGTAAAAAATTAACCTATTAGATCATCTCCAAAATTATTTTGATATCTATAACAAATGTTACGGTGCAAGGAAAACTTGTCACGCCCACATGAAGAGTTTATTTAAATAATATTTTTTATTCAAACTCATCATGTAAACGGACGAGTTCTAGTAATATATTTTTTATTAAAATTTATCATATTAAAATAAAAAATTTGAATAAAATTATTTTATTAAAACTTATCACATTAATATGATGAGTTTCAAATTAATGTAATAAATTTTATAGATCCCTAAATAATTTACTTTTTGTCATATTAGGGTAAATAATTAGGCCGCATTGTATTATGCCAATTGTATTGTATTATGCCCATTTTGCCTCAAACGGCGTAGTTTTGGGCCTCTCAGTATGGATCCAAAACCTAAGTTCCATTACTCATTCGTCAAGGAAAAAGGCCGAAGAGAAAATGGTATTCTGTAAATATTTAGAAAAAGATACATTCAGATTGCGGGAAATCGGAGGGTCGGTAGTTTAGGAGATAAAAAGAAAGGCAAACGATTTCCAGCATGCCTCGTTACAAAGATGATCAGCCGGCCGTTCGCGTCTACACAGTCTGCGATGAATCCAGGTGAATCCTTTCACTGTTCAATCACCACTTGTTTTGTCGATTTTTTTACTAATGTAGTGGAAGAATGTGAAGTTCGTTTAATTTCATCATCAGAAAGCCCTAAAATTGAAATAGTTTGAGGCCGAAAACTAGCTTCCTAGAAACAATAATTTATCCCTTTTGAAAGGAAATTGAATTTTTCGGTCGATAGATATTTGATTGTGAGGAACGTTCCCGCGTTGGGATGTGGCGATGATTTGTTGAAACTCTTTGCTAATTACGGAGACGTTGAAGAGTAAGTAAGTTCTCTTTCCTTTTAACTTTTTATTATTTGAATTTTGATGATGCCTATAGTCCATTTTTGTTTTGCCTTTCAGATGTAAACCAATGGATGCTGAAGATTGTGAGCAATTTACCGATGTTTATTGGATCAAATTTCAACTCATCAGCAATGCCAGGTTATTAAACTTGATCTCTTGAACATTTTTAATCTATAACTATCACACTCTTTCACGTACTTGGTTGAGAATATACCGCTCCTGGAAAGCTATTTTGTAGTGCTAACCATGTAGATTAGTGATAGGGTTTATATGTTTATTAACTATAAAGCCTCCTCTAGGTTTGCAAAGAGAAAATTGGACGAGTTTGTCTTCTTGGGGAACCATTTACAGGTCTCATATGCTCCTGAGTTTGAGAGCCTTGATGACACCAAGGATAAGTTAGAAGGCAGAAGAAAAGAAGTCCTTGCAAGATTGAATCGTAAGCTTTTATATTACTCTAAAAATTTAGCGTTTTAATGTAGCTATCTTTATTTATAAATGGAAAAAAGAATTTACATGTTTCAAATAGAACTGTGTGCTATTTGTGGTTAAATATTCTCATACACTTTATGTTGTTATGTTGTGATATCAGCTCAAAGATCTAAGGGGCAACCAGTTCATCGCCTGCTCTCTTCCAATGAAGCTCCATCACTTTCGGCTTCATCTCATATTATTCCAAATCAGATAAATTCAAGGTTGTGGTAGCACTCTGTTCAAATTTGTGCCGTTATCTTCATCATCGTTGCCTTTTTGCATTCTTTATCGGAATAAACTGTGGTTTCTCATCTTCATAGGAATTTTGGAGATTCAGAGTATGAGTCTCACAGTAAGAACGCTCCTATAACAAGAGTTTCATCTGATCAGGTGTGGATTACTTTTTAACAATGCTGTCCCATGCTTTGACTTGTTTTCTGTTTGAATATAAAAATTAGCTCCTTTTCTTTCTCTATTCTTCCTTTATTACAATTTGACTTGTGAACTTTACTCGAAGTACATGGTATAACTCGGTAGTTGTTTGAGTCTAAGATGAAGTCATTTGTAAGGCTTAGCTTGTAGCTTAACCAACTTTCAGTGCTGACCCAAGTTGAATGAATTTAGGACAGAATACATGTCTAATTAAAATTGGACGTCAGTGTCATATGGTTATAGGTGGCAATGTCTAATTAAAATTGAATGTCAGTGTCATCTGGTTATAGTTTATGCCTTCTGTCAGTATTTTGATCTATCCCTTTTTTTTCGTTACCCTACTTGAACCTTTTGGAATTGGGTATCTATACATGATTGTGGGGTTTGTCTGACAATTGTTTGCTCTATTTCCGATATCGGGACTGCTTTCAGGAGTACTTCCCCTCCCAGTCAATGAATCAGACAGTTAAAACGGTCAGGGACAAACTCAATAAGGTGATAAATCTCAGAACATGATTTTCTTGTCTTTGGGAAATGTATCAAGTAGTTATGTTTTATTTTCTTTGTAATGTATTCTCCGTATTTGCTTGCTTTAGATTCAATCAAGCACCGAGCATTTGCAAGCTGGGCCTACACCGAAAAAACCACGAGCGGACAATAGAAGAAGAATCTGATCATACTTTTGGCGTGGGTATGAACAAGTACGATATGTTAATTTCATGTTTGATCTTTGGCATTGAAATTTTCATTTTGGTTGAAGTATTTGTGTTTGACGCTCGTGTTGAATACGAACATATACGGCATATTGTATCAATCATATAGCTGTATCTTCTTGTTTTTGGGAATTTGAAAACATTGCTGATGTTAATGATAACTTGTTTTTCAGTCCATCATATGTTGATGTGACCCATGTACCAATTATATCTTGAGTAGATTTCGTATAAAAATCATATGTTTAATTTATAGGGGGCTTGAGCTCGAGTATATGGTATATTGGGGTGTAAATGAACAGAGCGTTCGGTGAATTGTTCATGAACCGTTCGTATAATGTTTGTTTGTTAAGCTAAATAAACGATCATGAACAAAAAATTATGTTCATTTAATAAACGAACGAACACTTACAGAGGTGTGTTCGGTTCGTTTATGTTCTCGAATAAACTCGTTTATGAGCTTGTTTATCAACTCGTTCATTTATGTTCATGAACAAACTCGTTTACCTGATTCTCCTTTTCCTTTTATTCTTTTACATTTTAAATATTGGTGAAGATAATGATTAAATAGAACACATGATAAAAGTTGCATTTTAAACTATGAATTTTAAGGAGTTTAAGCATTAATGACGTAATTTTATCATTTTTCTTTAGTTTGCAAATGAAATTAAAGATCGAATATATAAATGAACAATAAACAAACACTAAAACAACGCTAAACGAATATATTCATGAACACATTCGTGAACATATAAACAAACATGTTTGCGAACATTAAACGAACATGTTTGCGGACATTAAATAAACACGTTCGCGAACATTAAATGAATATGATCATGAACAATAAATATACGAACACGATATTGAAAATTTAAACGAACATGAATCGAACACGAACACCTTCAAAAATAAATAAACGAATACGAACATAACATTGTTGGTTCAAGTTTGGTTTATTTACACCCCTAATGGTATAAGGTATATTGGTATTGATAAGGGAAACATCTGATAAGGCAGATTGCTTAGTGTTCTTAGTAGGACGATTATTCTCCAAACTTTTTTTTATCTAGTCTAATTTTGAGATAAAATCTCATATATAACCCACTAGATACAAATATATATAATTTTTATTTTCATTTGGTATAATAGAAACTTAATTAGAAAAAATATAGAGAAAATAATATTAATATAACCATATCTAAATATATAAAGAATAATTACACTATTATCTCGGGTTAGAGATTTTATTATAAATTTAAATTAATTTTATTTATTCTAAAAAAATCATTTCACCTCGATCCATTTTTTTTTTAAATATTGATCCTATAGTGTCATGTCATAACTAGTCGAATATGGATTCTATGACCGTATTCGTGACTGATAAAATTATGGGTTCGTTTAAAAAATTAGTAAATAATTAAATTTAAGTGAAATTATATGGATATAATATTTTGAATATTATTATAATTAATAGGCTATCTAAATTATGTTTATTTAAATCTTAATTACATCATTAATTCTTAAAAACAGAATCGAAGTAGGCCTATAATTACATATAATTAATTTTTAGAACTTGTTTTTTTATTAATTTTTAATTAATGCGTCTCAACAAATTGTGCGCAAGTAAATATATTTTTGAGATCGATTAATTAATTAATTGGTCAAGAATTATAATATATCTCTACTCAATAAAAAGATTAAATATATTTTCTTATAATTATCATATTTATCTCCAAATATAATATTTTGTGACCGCGCAGTCCAATAATAGATCTCAATTGTTATACTAAATTATGATTATAGATGTCAGGTTTTAGGGACGAAGGTATGATTAAATGTTAAAGGGATAAAATTATTTTATATTAAAAGAAAAAAATTTGTTAAATATTTAAATTTAAAAATTAGAAAGGACGAAGACCTTATTTAATTAATATTTAAATTAAAAAAATCTAAAATGTCATTATATCAAAATTTTTGAAAAGGGTTACAACCCTTCAAATTCCTAGTTACATAATAATTTATTTTTTAAAAATAATTATAATTTTAAATTATAGATGTGATTATTGTTACGGTAATATTAATAATTAGAGTGAACTACGCGTTTGTTTAGTATCTAAATTATAGATTTTAGTACGTTTTAATTTCGTAACTTTTTTTTGCAATCATGACTAATGTTTAGTTTTTTTGTTTCATTTTGATACCTTGCCGTTGAAAACTTAACGGATGAGCTCGTCGGCTACCGCATGTACAATCGTCGACGGTTGCATCCGTCGGCCAATGAAGTCTAAACTTTTCAATTCGCACCTTTTTGACCCTTGAATGCGATTCTAATCTCCGTTTCACCGAGAAACACCTTAATCTTACCAAATTGACGATGGTCTCTTTGATTTCTTCATCCTTCGATTTCCATGATCCATTGTTTGATCGGGCTGAAACTAGACTATGTTGTTCGACTCGTTATTCTCTCGTGGTCTACCTTTCGGATTGGTCTTCTGTTCACCGAAGCTATGTCATGGCAGCCCATCCGTTAAGTTTTTAATAGCGGTGTGCTAAAATGAAACAAAAACTAAACGTTAGGTATAGTTTTTAAAAAATAGAAGTTTAGGTACTAAAAAGAACTAAAATTAATAAGGTCATTATACTACGTTGGAGTCACAATTTAATCCTATCATTTCAACGCCTCCCCACTCCAAGGCGTCAATGATTGTGTAAAACACCAAATTCAAAAGCACACAATGTCCTTGTATTTGTGTCACCGATGGAACCAACGTGTCTCATGTTTCCTACACAAGAGCAACACCCTCGGCTTGAATGGTCAGGAATCCATGGATCCAAAGCCTTGAGAGCATTCATTAGAGGGACCAAAAATGCATGCAGCAGTCAGTGCATGTATTCGAGTGAAGATAAGGGATTGGATTTCATATGCTCTTTTGACCCTTCACTCAGATTATCTCTGGATAACAGTCACTCTCCCCCAACATTTGGTCCTTCAAATAAAGTCCCTAAATTTCTAATTATTTCCCCCTCTCCTTCCCTTTGCAGCTTTGTTTTCACTTCCATTTCCTCTTCCTTTTTCACTTTCTTCTTTTGGCATTCTCTTCGTTTTTGTCCATTTCTGTTCCCAAAAAAAATGGTACACTGTCACAACAAGTGCCGCCATGTTGTTCCTTGTCTTCATTGCCACCCACATAGCTACATCAGGATGGTTAGTGAAATGAAAATCTCTTGTCCAACTTGTGCACTGAAAGAAGCATCATCTTGTTTAACCAGTACTGTGTTTTTGTTTTCTGGTTTTGCATGGCGCTGCAGGTTCAGCATCTGATAGAGAGATGCTTGCTTCTTCACATGAACCAACAACAATGCGTCAAGGCATTGGCACAGTACGCAAGTATTCGGCCGTGCATTACAATCACAGGTAATAAAAAAAGTTCGACAATGACGATGACGATTACATGTGATCAACGAGAGTTTGGGATTTCAAAGTTTCATATATTAATGTGTTTTTGCAGTGTGGAGAGAGCTAGAGAAGGAGAATAGGGACTTCTTTAGAGCATATGTTCATGGTGTCTCTTCCTACAGGCCCTTGATGTGTAAGTGCTGAAGCATATACCCTACAATCCCAACCCTAAACCTTCATTATCTTCACCATTTTCATATATCCATACACACATATATATATTTATATTGTTCTGCAGTTTTGTTGATTGCATTGGTGAGTTTATAACTTGTTTGGTTTTCGATTTCCCAGGTAGGTACATTCAAAGGAGGCCGAGTTTTGAAAGGAGGAAACGGTACTGGAAGCACTGAATGACAGTTAATATTATTGCAGAAACGGGTCTAAATTCATAGGTAACCAAATAATCATTAGTATTTCACTTTGCATGATGTAATAATACGAGTAATCTTCATTTTTGGGCAACTAAAATCTTAAAAGAACCAGCTAAGATACTAGCAGTAGTAAAGTTGGAATCTCTGAAAACACTGAAGTTTTTTCTTTGGTTTAAGGCAGTCAGTAATCACTGGTACAGCTATCTGTCAGCTTGCAGTGAAAAGGGTTCTTCGTTCCCAAGAGCATCTCCCACAAAAGGGGCAAAATGATATTGAAATTTGAAACCCAACTATATATATGCTTGCATCAGAAAATTTATAGTAATAAAATCAACCAGGGCTTGAAATTAATAGCTCTTCTTTCACTTCACTCAAAGGGTGACTTGGCCCAAATGGAACTCCTTGTTGCTTTTCTTTCACGGAAATCATTGCCTTGTATGTGAGCCTGAAATTTGTCAAACCATAAAGTCATGCAACCCTTTTCAGTGGCATAGATTACCCCAAACATTTAGGACCTAACCAAGTGTCAACAGTGTGCTCAAGTGTCCCTAAAAGGGCTAGCTTATTAAATTTTTTTACATGTAGTAGTTGAACTGCAATTAAAGGACTACCCTCTGTCCCTATCCTTTGAAATGGGGAAACTAGCCTTTAAAATCAATATGTATTGCTGTTGCTTTTTGTAAGATTGATTCCCATATATAAGAAATCATAAGGCATGAAGAAGGATAAGCATGCATGTGTCTGAAACTTGTCTTGTACTGATATATATGCTCATGAACTTGAGAGTACAGTACTTTTTTTTACTGGTCTGAGCAGTTTACGCTAGCTAGATGTACTTGTAAAGCATTTAAATCATAATAGACCTTTTAGAAAAGCTAATTAATTAACCTCAGCAGCTTCTGAGTTCCATGATGCATCTCCCTCTTCCTGGTCACAACTTTCTCCTTCTCCTTTGTTCTGCTTGTGCATGGGAGGAAACTGGGCCCACTGAAATATCAAGACATATGTAAGACATAAACATATATATATATATATATATATATATATATATATATATATATATATATATATATATATATTCATACATAAATATAAATGTAAATCAGAAAATATATGCAGGAAAGGATTGGTTTGTCGCATTGTTGATTCTTTTGGGTGTCTGAAACTTACATTTTTTGCAGCAGTGCTGAAGGCTTCTTTGTGTGGAATGTTTGGGTTTTGAGCTTTCAGTCTCCTGATCTCCTCTCTGCAGCCACCAAGAATGAAAGAATCTATATATATGATAAATGTACTAACTACTAAGTCAAAGAAATGCTTGTAAGTTGTTATTACTTGATGAAGAGATTATAAGCCGATGTAGCTCTTTGCCTCTTCTCCGGCGCTGTAAAATTTAAACCAAACCAGTATTAGAATTCTGATGCATAATTAAGCTACTTCAGTTTCTTGTTTGACGTTAAGCAACGAGCAGAATCCATTGGCTATAAAATCGAAACGCACGCTTGTTCACTGTGGGATTCACATGGACTATATCTTCATCTCCATTATCAGAAGAGCTCAGCAAAGACGGGCTGCGCCTGTCTGAGGTCTTCCTAGGGGCACCCAGTTCTTCTGAAAGTACTCCCTTTGGCTGCTTCAGAGAAGCATAATCAATTAATAAGTAATAACCATATATATATATATATATATATATATATATATATATATATATATATATATATATATATATATATATACACCTCATCGTCATGGCCAAGGGAAGCTAGAAACTGCAGTGGGACAAATGAAGCTTTCATCATATTGACTGAAAGAAGGCTTGTGCAGTGCCCACATCTCACTGTAACCACCATGGACAGCCTGCTACAAGGGACACTTACCTGCAATTTTCAAAAAAAAAAAAACCATATTATCAGCAGCTGAAGAGAGATCAAAGCACTTCAACATGCATGCATTGATCCATATTCCTTTTTTACCAGCAAAATGGTAGTGCAGAAACCACATTGCACATAGCAAATCTGCTCAGGGAGATCAAAGAGATGATTCAGTGTCGACATTTTTCTGTCTGTTCCCGTAAGAAAGTGAGGGAAAATAGAGACACAGAGAGAGAGAAAGAAGGTCTTTGGATGATTACAATGAGGATGATATATTACATGGGAGGGTGGGATTTATAGATTGTTTCAAACACTCTAATTACCTTAAACATTGTGCTTCCATTATTGTTGATTAACCAAAAAACAAGTACATTCATTCATGGAACAATAAATGATATTCATGTATGACAGATACTTCTTGTTGCAGCAGATTTAAATACGCGAATTCAGTTTCTGGATTAAATAATCCGTTCATTCATGTTCGTTTTACGATTCATATTCGACAAAATTATCACATTAACTTTCTTGCCAATTCATGTTCTGACAACAGTACTCACAGCAACACTGTCAACGTTGTGATTCACACACTGTATTAATTAAATTGCTAAAAACAAGAGCAAAGTTGAGCCTCTGTGTGTGGCGTTTTGATGTTCGGCATTGCCATTAGAGGGTGGAAAAAGCTTCCGGCAGAGCCAGTTTTGTCGAAGGGACTCAGTGACTATAGGTTTTCATGTGTTGTTTTCAGTTAAGGCTCTTTTATACCATTTAGGACAGGAGGGGAAGTTTCTAGAAGAGTGTATGGAGAAGGAAAATAGGCATCTTAGGTTGTCTTTCCTCAAACAAGGCAAGCTTTGGTTGAGCCTTGATGAGCAAAGATCAAAGCATGCCCCCTTCACTCTGTAACTTTTCCACTGATGTGTCTTTGTTCTTGTCCTACGGAGACGAACACATGAATTTATACCGGGATGTAAATCTAAAAAGTCAAGTCGAGTCATATTTTATAACTTAAACTTTATTTACCAAGTCGAGTGGAACTCAAATTGTTTGAGTTTATGTTTAAATTTAATTGTAAATATATATAATGTTATGGTATCATTTGATTCTAATTTTAACAATTTTATATAACCGTATATAATATACATATATATTTCTTCATATTTTTCATATATGATATATATATTATGAATAGTTGAAGGATTCAGCTTGAATTTAATTACTAAAAAATTGAATTATTCAAGTTCTATTTTATAGCTCAACTCAAAATTATTTTTTTCCCGAGTTGAATATAATTAAGTCAGATCAAATTATTTTGTGTCGACAACTCGAGTTTTGTTCAACCCTAACTAATTTCATGCACTAGCATCATCCTCTATGCATGTTATCATTTATTTCAGTTTCACCTTCTTCTTCTTCCTTGCTTTCACTTCATTTTTACCCTGTTGTTTGACTGTCTCAGCCCATGTGATCTCATGTGTTGTCCCCACAAACCATTGTTCGAAAAAGGAATGTGTCAAAGACAGTAACTTCAAATCATGGAGACTGGAGTTATAAAATTCACTTTTGACATGGAGAATAGCTTAATTACCAGTTACCACGCGGTTAAACATGTTTGATGCATTAAAGAACGTAGATCTCATGTGATCTCAATTGTTGGTTCCAGATATGGGTGGAAAGATTGTGTTGTTTTGCTCCTTTGTCAGTCATTTTCTTTTTTTTCACCTTCTGAATTGTCCAATGTAGCCGTACGTTGCCCTCCAGAGTAATAATTTTTAAAGTTTACTATATAATATAATCACTCATTATGTCTATTTTATAGGACTTAATAATAAATAAATAAATTATGATAGGGCATATGGACTTGAGGAAAAAATTTAATAACTTAAGTAATTTCTTAAAAAGTTCGATGATTTATGTAATATTAGAAAAAATTAATACAAAATGTTACAAGTATAATAATTCAAGATAAAATATATATATATTATTAATAAATAAATAGTACAGTTTAGGGGGGAGAATCCATACGTCAACAAACTAACAAACTGAAAATGAAAACTGAATTGGTGTATATAAACCATTTGTATGGTTGTTATCTCACCGATGTGGGATGTGTTTTCTCGTTTTCTTTACTCAACACAATTTACATGTATTCTTATTTTGAGCATCAATTTATTATTCATCACTCAACTGTTTTGAGCATATGAGATATCATTGTAAATATCTCAAGAAGTAGAATATGAATCATTAAATTCATTTCGGGTCTCCATCTTTAACTTTAGAAAATATGCCTCAAAGTTTCCAATTTCATATCTTTTCCAATAGAAAATGTTTAAAATAAATAAAATATATGATCTTATCGAGCGACCTCAGTAATAAACAGGAATATTATTCTCTCTAGAACTTTCAAATTTGAATAAGTGTGTCTACAAAGTTCTGTTCCTTATTGATTGTCTAAGAAAATTCTAAACAGATACTATATCGTAGTCCCCAAAATTAAGTATTTTCATCCCTTTAAAAAGATAGGATAAATCTAGTGTGATTAATTCATTTTACAATAAAAATTCAAATACCTTATGATCGTTGGTGCTTAAACCCATAATCTAGAGCTACAACAATTATTTATTTAACCATAGAACTCGCTTGATTTTAGTCAAATTTCAAAGCCTAATGAGTAAGAACATCTTCATTTGTAATACATTAGCAAAATTAGCCCATTATGTCAGGCAATATAATTAATTGGCCCATTAGGTCACACATAATTTTGTTTCGGGATCTACGGTAAATGTTACGGTTAGGGATGGTAATTTCACCCGCATCTGACGAGTTCTGACCCGATCGGGTCAGATTTAAAAAAAAAAAATTAAGTTTGGGTGGAAGGTGAAAAAACTCTGACTCGACCCAACCCAATCTGAGGATAATAATGTAATTTTCTTTTTAAAAAATATTATTTTTTAATTAAATCCTTAATTTGTACTAGGTCGGGTAAGGTTGGGTCGAATTTATACTCTAAAAAATCAAGTCGGGTTGAAATCGGGTGGAGGATATATATTTTTTCGGTTGGGTCAAGTCGGATGTAGGATATAAAATTTTTGGGTCGGGTCAGATTTGAGTGAGGGTGCATATTTTTGGGTAGGATTGGTTTGACCAAAAACATGACCCTAACCCGACTCGTTATCATCCATAGCTACAGTGCATGTCAAACTCGTCCTCTTGACGTAACAAGTTTAACCAAATAATATTTCTAAATGTACAAAGTAAGTGGGACTCGTTGAAATTTTTTATTTTTGAAAATTTAAAAATTAATTTTTAAATTATAACAAATTTTAAAAAAATCTTGTGGAACTCGTCATATTGAGGTAACGAGTTTTATTGAAATTTAAAATCAACTAGTCCTTTATAGTCATTGGGCAACGATCATATTGGAACTCGCCACCTCGACGTGACGAGTTTCACATGATTTTTGAAAATCCAGCCATTTATAATCGTTGGGTTTGAGGTTATAAATAGGGATTTTTGGTTTAAGGTTTTTATTGTATATTGTTAAGAAGAATAAGAAATTACTCTTAAGAAAAAATGTTTTTTAAAAATTCCTGAAAGTGTCTACCCGAAATGAAATTTTACGCCTTGATGTTGTCCATATTTCCTAGATTGATCTTATTCCAGAAGAAAAACGGAGCATTCATCCGCGAGGAATGACACTTAAAGATCCACATGAATGAATTACTATATATCTCCAACAATCCGGGTTGTATCCAACCAGATTTCTTTGTGGTTTTAAGGTGAACTTGACACTAATTTTGGCGTTAATTGAATGTTGAAGGCAAAACACGTATATTTTTCGTTTTCTGAGTGGTGAAGCAACAATTACGTTGGAAGATGTTGCTTACCAACTCGGTGTTCCCATTAATGGTGCAACACTAGTGAGGCACGACAATTACAACCAATTCCATATTGTTTAGGAAGTTTTAGGAAATAGGCCACCACCATATGTCTTAGATGGGACGCGGATACGGATAACTTGGTTTGAATCCAAATTTCAAGTGAATGAAGATTGTACCGATGATGAGGTTAAATTTACAGTCCGATCGTATCTTCTCCAATTGATTTAAGGGATATTGTTACCATATAAAATCTAGGAATTTAATGCACACTCAATATCTTCCGATATTGAATAATTTCACTGAGTGTTGTAACACTAGTTGGGGTTCAATGATTTTGACATTTTTATACTAGAAACTTTGCAAGGGTACAATCGTTGAAAGGGGTCAAAAGTCGATATTGCGGGTTGTCTAGACTTTCTACAGTCCTAGGTGTGGTATTGGTTCCTTTTCTTATGACAATTACATCAGCCTCGATTGAGTTTCCTTTGGCTGAAAGGTAATTTTTTTAACTTTATTTTCTACAAAATTTTTAAATTTTTATTTATTATATTGTTTAGATGGCGGCATAAAATTAACAAGGCAAAGTTGTCGTGTGCAACAAAAATTGATATGCAAATGAGGATCGATATTGCCAGTCCACATGCCGTAAATATTATTTTAGTAAATTATTTAAATTTTTATTTATTTATAATTTATTCTAATTTTTATAATTTAATTAATGTTTACATTTTTTTTGGATTCTATATTGTGAGCCTGAGATCTATCAGTTACTATCATTGGGATTTTTTGAAGGCTTGGAGTTGTGGTGTGTCGTAACGCCTTTGCTTCATTTTTTTATCGTTGAGATGTATGCCCCACTATAGAGTGTTGCACCATTTTGCGTCCCGTGAGCTGATTCCTATGCTAATATATCATATGTACGAGCTTCGTATAATTGATACACGTTGGAAGCATAAAGAGATTTGGTCGAGGAATCATCCTTTGTACATTAAACAATGGAATAAGCAACATCTATATTTGCATATGCGTTTTGAGATTACATCTGTTAATCTTGATTTCGAAATATCTTCATATTGTCACACCCGAATTTAGGGGCTATTTTTTAAAATTTATTCTAGGATTAAATTGAAATTATAGTTAAATTTTATGACCAAAGTGAATTTTTAATTAAATTCAAATCCAAATTTAGAAAATAATAAAACATCATGGACTCAAGGAGTAATTTCACAAATTCATAAGTGGCATGGGTTTAAAATCCCAAAAGTCTAAAATTTTCCATTTTTGGAAAATGCAAAACCCCTCTCT